GGGAGATTTAGGTTGATCAATGGAAGGAAAATTTTATTTTGGAAGTATACATCAGCTTAGTCTGATAAAAGCACAAACCTTTAGAACAATAACTGCAAGTCGAAAGACCCTTTTGCAATACTTGTACATCAACAATACGGCAACCAAGAGGAATGTGGGAGACATTTTCAACTTGGCTCTACAATTTTTGGAGAAATGGTTGATATTAATTTATTTGCTTTAACTAAAATCCTTGCCTTGCCCTTAGTTCAAAGTCTGTAATGTAAAAATATTGTCATTGTTGATTTCAAGCAAATGATATTACCTGTAATTTATTAAACACTCGCCTGTGTACTGCGTGTTGTTCTTTTTGATGGTGGGCATAAATCTTCATTTGCGTTTTCATCGAAGTTTAATCTTCGTTTTGCATTGCCAATAATGGCATTACTTTCGAGAAAGTTGTTTTTTTTTTTTTTATTTCTTCTCGCAAACTTCCCACTAGCGTTTCTGTTTTGCCAAAGTGTGTTCGTTGATGGAGTACGTGAAACTTCATTCGTGTCATCTGTCCCCGCTTGAATTTTTTTTAGCGAAAATACGGTGCAAAAAGCCATAACTATAAATCCAGTTGCTTGCCAGAAATGTACGCGTTCGCCTCGATCATCGCTGTCGATTTTTGACGCTAGAACGTGCCTGCCGCTACGCTCGTTAATAAAATGACTGCAATTGAACGACTTTTTCCTCGTTAAATAATATTTCAACACTTCTGATGTATTGTTGAAACGGAAATTGCGGAAATTTGCGAAGAAACGATGGCAATTAAATGCCATTTTGTTTATTTTTAAATTTCCCGGCAATTTTTAATTTTAGGCATTTAATCCACGCGCGGATTTTCCACTGCTCGTAATTCCCTCGCGCGATATTCGCACGCGTGATTTAGCAATAACTCGTGCCCATTCTCCGTTAAATTAAAAGTGTATTGAGCCACCTTAAATTAGACTTTCAAAACACACCGCAATATACATGACATAGTATTAAGCATTGAACTATAAATAAACTGGAAGGCTAACTGCTATGATGAAGGCCTATGATTTGATGAAGCCAAAATAGTTTTTCTGAGTTATGAGCAGAAATACTTGACCCCAAACGTCGGACTATATATCAAATTGAAGCTATTAAAAATTGCTATTCGGTGTGGAAATTTCAAGACTTCAGCGAAAAGAAAAATATTTAAAAAATACAAAAACAACTGCAAAACGGCAAATTATCGGTAATTATGTTTGTAGTTTTTCAATATTTCCCTTTTAGCTAAAGTCTTCAAATTTCTACACCAAATAGCATTTTTCAATAGCTTCAATTTGATATATAGCCCAACGTTCAGTGTTGAGTATTTCTGCTCATAACTCAGAAAAACTAAAATGCACTGGCTTCAATTTCCCCCCCTGAGTTAGCCTTCCAGTTTATTTATAGTTCAATGGTATTAAGTGAGTGTTTGTATTAAGGAGGCTCCCTACAGTTGCGTGCGGGATGTTCGCGGGACCAGTACGTGAACTATCCCACGCGACCGCATGATCAAAACAAAACAAAATATTTTTTTTTAAAAAAAGCTATTTCTGAAAGGTTTCTAATGGGAAAAAGCGTTGAATAATACTTCGTTTTGAGTGCCAAATTACTTGCGGGTCTATACAGCAATTCTACATATGATACGAATACCACTAGACCAAAAATAGCTACGAAACAATGTTTTTTAATGTTTTTAAAATATACATTGTCAACTGTAAAACATTTGCAAAATTGCATACAAACGTTTAAAAAGTTGTTTACTTCTCAAGAAAACGTTCACGTTTTTAGTCGTGTTTCTACAAGATTAAAGTGATTATATGTAAACAGAAAAATATTTCAGTTTCATAGCCTAATTGTTCATTTTTAGCAAAAAGTACAAAACCAAACATGAAACAAAAAACACGTCCACCTGTTAATAGGCTGTTACAGCTCATAGATTGAGTAAACGGCAGGATTCAATTAGCTTCAACCTTGTTTTCATCGATTTAATCCTTCACAATAATCCTTGGCTGTCCGTAGCACTCAAATAAATCGAAAAGTTGACAAAAACAAAACAGTAAAAACAACATTGCGGCTCGATTTTGCTGAATGAAAACTCGTTCTGCGCCCGCGTACAATCTTTTACTAGTCAGCGACGCTTTTCAATAGGGGAATTTCTCGAGTTACACGAGGCTATTTTCTAACTTTATTTGCATTTTACTCATTAGTTTCATCGGTGACCTATCTTCAAATTTTGACCACGAATTTATTTTGCGGTAAATTTTATAAATTTCAAATTTTAAAAAAATCTGTAGTGTGGAAATTTCGCAATAAATTTTTCGCTTTTAAAAAAATCACACACTACAGAATTTTTTTAAACTTTCACCACAGTTGCAGAGCATCATTCCTTATTGATATATGAAATAAAAAAGATAGGTCACCGACATCGTTTTTGAGATAGCGACACATTTATGGGTTAAATTGGAAGGCTTTATGCTGTTGGAAGGCTTTATGCCGCAATGGAAGGCTTTATGCCGCAATTGGAAGGCTTTATGCCGCAATGTTGTTTTTACTGTTTTGTTTTTGTCAACTTTTCGATTTATTTGAGTGCTACGGACAGCCAAGGATTATTGTGAAGGATTAAATAGATACGAGTTTCTCGTTGTTACATAACAATGTAAGGAGCTTGAGGCGCAACTTGGAAAATTTTCAAACTCACCTATTACAACAACTTGACTATAACTTTAGCGTTATAGGTATTTCCGAGACAAAAATTAGAGATGATAAATTTTCTGACTTTAATCCTGATATAGCAAACTATAGATTTGAATTTGTTCCAACACCATTAGCTTCTGGAGGTGTCGGACTGTATATCAGAAATGATTTATCTTATACAGTCCTTGAAAAATGTTCCAATTCAGCTTTTCAAGCACTTTGGGTTGAAATACACTTTACAAATAAAACTAGCATCATATGTGGTGTAGTATATAGACAGCATAATTCGCCGGAGAGATTTCAAACTTATTTTGAGGACACTCTTGACAAATTTAACTCCAGATCTTTTGGGCCAAATAGGGCTATTTACGTAATGGGCGATTTCAACATAAATCTCCTCAATGCTCAAACTTGTCAATATACTCAAAACTTCTTACTTACTCTCCAAAGCTATGCTTTAACACCTACCATTGATAAACCTACAAGAGTCTACAATCAATCTGCGACTCTAATTGACAATATTTTTGTCAATAAAATTGAAAACCCAATTCTAAGTGGGAATATTGTTTCTGACATAAGTGATCACTTTTCACAATTTTGTATCATACAATCCGATAAATACATAAATTATCAATACCAAACTAATGCCAAAATTCGTGATTACTCTAAATTTTCGGAGTCAAAATTCAATGACGACATATCACGAATTAACTGGTGTACTATCATCGCAAATAAAAAAGACAATATTGATAAACTTTTTATCACCTTTTACGATAAACTCAACAATGTAATCAACAAACACGCTCCCTTAAAACCAGTCTCAAATCGTATGAAAAAACAGTTCTCTAAGCCATGGATAACAAAAGGAATCAGGAGATCAATTAAAATAAAAAACAAACTATTTCACTCCACAAATAAAAATAAATATAAACTATACCGAAATAAGATAACAACCCTAACACGAATTAGTAAAAATTTATATTATAACCAATATTTCAATAACAACATAAAAAACATGAAAAAAACCTGGGAGGGCATAAATAGTCTAATCAATCGCAAGAGGAATAATCACAAAATGATTACTACAATCAAATGTCCAACAAGAAATGAAATTAATAGAAATCCTAGAGATATTCCCAATATCCTCAATAAACATTTTTCAACCATAGGACTCAATCTAGCTTCTAAATTACCCAATCCCTCAAAACATTTTAGCCAATATCTCGATACCACTAATTATTCTGGTTCTTTCTTCTTTGACCCCATTTCTCCACACGAAGTGGAATGTGAAATAAGTTCTATGTCTTGTGCGAAAGCTTATGGACTGTACTCTTGTCCTATACGAATTCTAAAGTATATAAAACACCAAATATCTTGGCCACTATCAGAAATAATGAATATATCTGTCGAAAAGGGAGTGTTTCCTTCAAAATTTAAACATGCTAAAGTTATTCCTATATTTAAAGATGATGATGAAACTGATCCGGGAAACTATAGACCAATCTCATTGCTTTCAAATTTGAATCAAATTTTTGAAAAATTAATGTCTAAACGTCTCAAAACGTTTTTCGATAAAAATAAAACTTTATATGATAAGCAATATGGCTTCCGAGCTAAACACTCAACACAGCATGCCATTATTGATATTATAAATAATATTCATAACAATCTGGACAAGGGTCTATTTTCGTGTGGCATATTTATAGATCTAAAAAAAGCCTTTGATACCGTTGATCATTCTATACTTTTACACAAATTACATCATTATGGAATCCGTGGAGTGATCAACAACTGGTTTAGATCTTACCTAACTGACAGAATACAGACAACCCAAATTGGTGGTCACATATCATCAAAACATACAGTTAACTTGGGTGTTCCACAAGGTTCAGTCCTTGGGCCTTTACTCTTCTTAATTTACATAAATGATATTCACAAATCATCTGAGGTATTTAAATTTTACTTGTTTGCTGATGATACGAATTTGGTATACTCTGATAAAAAATTAAAATCTCTAGAAACGATCATCAATAGAGAATTGATAGGAGTTTGTGAATGGCTAAACACAAATAAGTTAACCCTCAACTTAAAGAAATCCAACTATGTTATCTTTCATTCCCACCAAAAAAAGCTCGACTATCAAGTTGAACTAAAAATGTTTGACAATCATTCCAATAACTTGATTAATATTGAATGTAAAGAATTTATAAAATATTTAGGTGTTATAGTGGATGGTAATCTCACATGGAAATACCACATTGACAATATTGCATCCAAAATAAGCAAAACAATTGGCATAATTACAAGGCTTAGATATTTTGTACCTCTGTCTACCTTACAAAACATTTATCGATGTTTAATCTTACCTTATATAACATATGGTATAGCTGTTTGGGGTCAAGCGGCAAAAAAATATTTGAATAAGATACTTATTCTCCAAAAACGAGCAATACGTCTAATGAATTTTAAAACAAACAAGGAACATGCTATCCCACTTTTTATTCATTCCAATATACTTCCTTTAAATATGCTTTACATTAAAACAATTTGCAATTTAATGTATGACGTCTCAAATAGCTCTTGTCCATCTTCAATCTCCGATTGTTTTATCCAATCAAAAGAAGTCCATACTTATAACACTAGACATTGTGTATCCAATAATTTTTATGTTGAATACTCAAAACTAACTACAACTATCACATCCTTTGTAAAATCAGGTGTTAAAATTTGGAATAGTATTCCCACTGATGTTCGAGAGTTGGGTAGAAAAAATTTCAATTTGAAAATTCAGAAAAGTCTTTTAACCATATTTGAGATTGAGGACGATTATGCTGATGTGCCCACATTAATTAGATATATGAGTAAGCATGGAAAATAGTACATCCTTCGAAATTAATAGGAAATTAATAGGGAATTAATTCTTCTTTGTGAAAATGATGCTTTGTGCTGTCAGTATACTGCGCCACTTTATATTATAACCGAGCATATCCTATACTTCTTATTTAATCTCATTCTACTATCCGCCCCGATTAGCTTTGCTATTAGCGGATAGTATTGTATATACAGACTGTTT